CTTGAATCTTGAGATATATACTTAATCATGAAAAAAGTGAGATGAATGCTGGAAAAATAATCCCATTAGAAATGTTTAGGGTGTAAAATTTGCTCTTAAATGTTTGATTAGGTAAAGTAATTTGCATATATGCCAAGGTACTATATGAAATCACTTCTGGTGGCAGAATTTCTATTTATAGAAAGGCACAGGGGAAGCTATATTATGGCGGTGAGAAACGTACTAAACCCAAGGTACCAAGTCAGGACCAATATTATTGCAGATTCTTCTTTGGATTTCATCAAGAATCTCTAAATATATAGCAGGAGCACCAGAGCAGACAAAGCATGGATAAATGGTAGACTAATAAATATGTAAAATAGATTCTGGAGAGAAACATTGCAGATTCTTCTTTGCATTTTATCAAGAATCTCTAAATATGTAGCAGGAGCACCAGACCAGATGTGGCAGAAATATTCAAAGTATGGAAGAATGGTAGACTTATAAATATGTAAGATAGATTCTTCTTTGGATTTTATGAAGAATCTCGAAATATATAGCAGGAGCACCAGACCAGATGTGGCAGCAATATTCAAAATATGGACAAATAGTAGACTTAGATTCTGGTGAGAAATATTGTCTAGCAAGACAGGAGGGAACCAACATTTGGAGTAAAACAGCAGTCTATCATGCAATTTAACCCTTAACTGGGGGAAGATGAATTCTTGCTTTACCCCAGGGCATTAGTTCAAAGAGAACAAAGCAGAATAATGTGGAAATTAAACTTTCCACACCACTAAACATTATATTGTCTGCTTTTCTGTTGTCTTGAGTAGGTCCTTGTAAATTATGGAAGCGTCTTGTGGAAGTTGTGGAGGGCTGTGATCACTTTTCGAGTTTTTCAAAAAATAATGTCTTTTTTTTCTTTTGACATATCAGAATCTATAAATATTTTTACTTTACATTTTTCATCTTAATATAATCTTCAGTTTGATGCATCGGAAACTGTAGAATGTCATGAAAATCTCACAAGACATACATATCGACAAAGGTCATTGCATTCATCAAAGCATATTGGGCAATGTTTGCTTCTATTTTAAATGATATAGGATTACTTTATTGAAAATTTATTTTTCATTTCTCTAACAACTGGGAGAGGTTGACGGCCTCGCACCAACCTCCCCAATTTTTTAGCCATCCTTGAAACTCGTGAGTATTTCTTCTTCATTTTTATTTTTTTACTTCTAGTAGGATTGTCTTACAGAGCTAAAAGACCCCAAATACTTATCTCCCCAATCTGCAGGGAGAAATGGATTCATGCCTTCTGCAAAACAATTAGTTTCCCATGTGATTTTCCAAACTCTCAACAATAGTAGAATTTGACATGAAGTCAGTTAAAAATGGGCCAACCAGATGTGTACATGCGTAACAAGGACAAAAATTGCACTGTCCTCGCAACCATTGTCACGGTGACATCATTACCCACCAACTCCAATTCTTTAGTGAAACGAGGGAGGTACTGCTGTAGGAATGGAATTCCGAAGACCAAGTTTCTTCATGGAGAATAGATACCATTTACCTGTTCCTTACGTAACCGATACATCAGTTCTTGCCTCATACTTATCAACAATTAATAGCATGCGTCAATCCCAGGAGTTTTGCTTTGGCTAATGTTTTCAGAGCTCAAAGTCTAGATAGATATGTGTGGACAAACTAATAACTACCCTAGCCACCCACCACCACCCACATTCTCCACGTTACTGAAATAGAAAAGTGACAGCCGATACACATAGTTCTAGTGCCATCACAAGAGTTCCTGAATATTATTTTTTAACTGCACCCCAATCAAGGGGATAATGCCACTAAGGTGCAAGTGATTACTCTGAGTAAAAGAGAATGAAAAGACTTTAGTGAGGAGAAAGGACAATAAAAGAACAGGTTCCACAGGTGAGAAGTGTGAGAACAAAAATTATTCAGTATCTGTCTATATTCCTGAGATGAGGTATTATGTACACTATTTACATTATTCCAACTATTGTCTTCATCTTTGTCGCCATATTTATTAAAATGTTTCAGCTGTTGTACACTCCAGCCTTCTTCAGGTGGTTGGAATGTTGAACTGAACACTTTATTTTCACTCACTGAGGTTGACTGTTCTGGTTCTATGTGCCATGTTTAATGGATGTCAGTTATCTCCTGTTAATTCCCCTCGCCAAGTTCTCCACTGCCTTAACCGGGTATTGAACCCACACTCTTTGGGTCCTGTCATAGATCTAACGCCTTTATCCACTGTGCCATGTGTCCTTGAGGACATTATTTTTTAACTGCACCCCAATCAAGGCAATAATGCCACTAAGTGATTACTGTGAGTAAAAGAGAATGAAAAGACTTTAGTGAGGAGAAAGGACAATAAAAGAACAGGTTTCAGGAAGACAGAAGACGGCAACTGGCATTGCTTTTAAATTTTTGAAGATTGTAGTTTGCAGGGAAGCAAGAAATCAGAAAGAAGTTCCACAGGTGAGAAGTGTGAGAACAAAAATTATTAGAATAGAACATACTGTTGCATCTAGCTAGTTCAACAGTAAAACGGTGAGACCTAACTGCCAATCTAGCAGTATGCTTAAATTCATGCAGTCAAGGCACCATGGAGGAAAGCTCATCCGAACAGTTGCCATTAAAATATTCGTAGAAAAGACAGATGAAAAGTTAGTCCATGATGATGGGAAAGTGACTAAAGCCGAGATGCCTGGTCAGGATTGATAACATTGCAGAATCTTTTTGGGATTTTGTCGTGAATCTCGAGATATATAGCCGGAACACCAGACCAGATGTGGTAATAATATTAACTGCATGGACAAATGGTAGATTTATAAATGTGCAAGCGGGATTCTGACGAGAAATAATGTCTGGCATGACACAATAAACAAAGTTTCCTAGCAAGTGATTCCATATTTGCACTCCACTTCCTTTCAGTGGAAACGTGAGTCCAAGAAGGCAAAAAAGCTGCTCTCCTGGAGGTTTCATCATCCGAGCTGATGGAAGCAGAAAACAATCTCTATAGTGATAGTTTTGTTTTAGAGGCATTCAAATTTACAAACCATTTCTTGCCCCAGTTAACAACTGCTTGGAGGGAATTTTCCAGATCAGATGCCAGTTTTAAAATGTCGGGTCTGTCAGATTTTGACAGGAGTAAATTGTTTTGCCATCAGCACAAATACCTCGTTAGAAACTGATGACATCAGGAAAGTTGTTGATAAAGAAAAAAGAATGTAGGCCCATAGATAGCGGCCTGGGGGATCCCCTGTGTTAATGTAAAATAATCTAGAGTGTCCGTTCAACACTGTTTCATTACACGATTTTTGGGGGAATGATTGGATTAATCCAAATATTTGTCCAGAAACACCGTAGCTCTTGAGCTCGTGGAAAAGGTCAGCATGCCAAAACCTGTCAAATGATTTCGAGATATCTAAAGCCACAGCCCGAGCCTCGCCATTCTCATCTATAGCTTGATAGAGTAATTCAGTGATAGCCGTTAGCACATCAGCAATATAACTGGAGAAACAAAAACCATACTATTTATCCGAAACAGCCGTAAACTGCCCAATGGGCAATGATACTGGATTTTTCAACTAGTTTCTAATTCAGATTTTTTCCCCTAGACTGGTTGTCAGCGAAGAATAAAGAACTCAGTTCGCCTTATATCTTTCGCAAGGTTATTTTTGCGAATTTGAATGAGATTGCCCGGAATTTGAATTTCCTATCCACTTTCTGTGTCCAATCGAATCCATTATATTCACTTACGTGCTAATGCCCTTGGGAAAAGTTTGAATCCACTGCTTCTCCCCCTAGCTATGGGTAAATAGCAGGACAGACCGGGTTCTGTAGCCTTATATGGTGACTGGTCTACCACAGAAAGAAATGGCAACCTACTGCAGGGAAAAAAATCTGCCTCGTCAGTCATGTATCAAAAGATACATGATCACCTAAGCGTGTATCACGTATGGCACATAACTAACTGAAATTCACTTAGGTGCTATTACCCTTGGGAAAAGTATGAATCCTCTTCTTCTCCTCCCAGCTATGGGTAAATAGCAGGACAGACCGGGTTCTATAGCCTTGGATGGCAACTGGTCTACGGCAAAAAGAAATGGCAATCTACTGCGGGAAAAATCTGCTTCGTCAGTCATGTATCGAAATATACATGATCGCCTAAGCGTGTATCACGCATGACACACAACTGAAACTAACAGAGTAGTAAATAAACAAGCCATTTTTGAAGAGATAAAACAAAAAAAAATCCTTTATAATCCTAAAAGGTCTTCATTTTAATCGTCATTTCCATCTAAAAGCGTCTACGCGGCCATGTGGGTGATGAATTTTTTTTTCACTCTTCAACCCTTTTCCTACAGATGAAAAGCCGCAAGCTTGTCGCTACTACTCTATCACTTTTCCCATGACCACCAACGCTGACCTTTGCAGCTAGGAGCCGCTATGACGATCATGAATCTTCGCATTCCATTATTAAAGAGGAATCTCCATTTGGACAGCTTCTTCCCAACGACTGTTGCTTTGTGGAACAAGACTCCTGAGAGGAAGCTTCCCTGATCACTACAACCTTGATTTCTTCAAGTCTAGGATCAACCGATATCTTTCCGACATAACCTCATGTTCCTGCCTTTTCTTACGCTCATACGACACCGCAGAGTAAAGCTCTATCTTGAGTGGCTCTTGGGTCCTGTTTTGGATGAACATTAGTAAAGAGAGAGAGAGAAAAAGGCAGCTTAACCTTTTAACATATCCCAACTCTTAATACTACCCCTGTGGCAAAACCACTATCTTTTCTGTTTCCCTGGGGTGCCAGTCGGGAAGGTGTGCCATGTTGGCATCACTGTCATACAACAGAACGGGACGGTCAGCAGTAAGCATAGTGGTGAATCATCCAAATAGTACTGTGCTTTGTGCCTGTTGTTATGCTTTCGTTTTCGCAGGAAAGTTATTGATTCATTTTGCACAGAAGGTCGATGACATCATCAAAGTCAGCCAATGAGAAAATCGCGATTATTACAAATATGGCCGCCACTGATGTTTCATTTTTTTTCCCCCTCTTCTCTCTTTTTCCACTTTCATCAATTTTTCTGTACTTTTCTTTCTCGCCATCATTTAGTTGCTTTCTCTTTTACATTTCTCGTTCTTTTTGTTTCTTTTTCATCATACTTTTGTTTTCTTTTCTTTTTCTTTCATCTCTATTGTTCGTCTTTTTTTTTCTATCACTTTTTTTTTCCATTTTTTTCTTTTTCGTCTATTTTCTAATTCTTTCTCATCTTTTTTCCTTTTCCATTTCTATTTCTTTTTCTAGCACTCCTTTTCTCTTGTTCTATCTTTCAGTCTTATCTTTTTTTCTCTCTTTTGTTCCTATGTTTTGTTTCTCTTTTCCCCCATCTCTCATTCTTTTCTACTTCTGCTTCAGGCTTTCTTTTTCATCTTTTTTCTCTCTATTTTCCATTTTTCAACGTATATTTCTTTTTCTATCTCTCTTTCTCGCTTTTACCTTATCCGTTTTTCATCTTTTTCTTTTTTTCATTTCTCTTTCACCACCACTCTTTCTTTTTTTTACTTGTTTTATTTTTCCATCTTTTTTCATCTTTCTTTCTCTCTTTTTCCCATTTTTTTCCTTTTCCGTCTCACCTTTTCAACAGTCTTTCTTTTTCTATCGCTTTTTTCCATCTTTCTTCTTCATTTTCCTTTCTTTTTTTCCGCCATTTTTCTTTTCTACGTCTTTTATTTTCTTTCTCTCTTTTTTCTGTCTTTTCACATCTCTCTTTTTTCTTTCCATTTTTCCATACTTCTTTCTTTTTTCTTCTTTTCACTCGTCTCTTTTTCTCCCTTTCTCTTCTTTATATCTTTTCTTCCGTCTCTTTTTCTCTCTTTTATTTCACTCTTTGTGTTTCTCCACGCCTGTTGAGCACTTTTCTGGAACGGGTGTAAAATTCCGCATTGTGAAAAAAAAAAAATGCCAAAAATCTCTTGAGAGGCCGAGATGACCCAAAACACACGACCTACTGTATTAAAATTTGCTACACTTGATCTTTTCAACAATGAATTCCCCAATATCTGTGAGTTATTAAAAGTTAGTAGATACTAACTAACCTAAGCTTAACAGAGCAGAAGGCCAAAAAATCGGGAGCATTCTTCTTTTGCAAATATTCTAAGTAGAAAGAAACACATATATAAGTCTAAATATGTATCTATAAAGGGATTCTAATATATAAAAAAAGACTTCGATTTTGCAAGCAGCCTAAAATCAACAGACTGTCAATATTTTTATTGATTTCTCACCAGAAACTTTCACAAAATCTAACCAAGAACTGTCTTTTCATAAACACTAGTTTTCTTTTTCTATACAACCCCAAATCAACATGCCGCAAAGGTTTGAGCTAGTGGAACTAAGGAATGTAGCCAGTGTGAATATTTTCCATGGCGATAGAGTAGCAATGGGATTGCAATATTTCGCTTGCGGGAAAGGTTCTGCAGAATTTAAAATAATTAATCACACACAAGCCCGTATAATACTGTTGTGTAGAAAGACAAACGGCTACTCTAATTATTGAACATAAACGCGAGCATTTGCTAGGAGTAGAACGTTTCCTCATAAGAACACGGTCGCAAAGTGGGTCGCAAGGCGTAGTGTTGAGACGTACATATTGCCGCACTGAATTATATTCGCTATTACTGTCTAATTAATCCATGTTACTCGTATAATTATAACCTTTCTTCACTAATCTTTTGTTCCAGTTTGTTTCCTCACAATATTATTGTTCTAACCTAGAGAAGGTTATGGAATAGAATAATCAAACGAAGGTTGGTAATGAATGATAATACTTAGGACAAGAACAACGCATATAAGATATGCCAGCGGCGCGTAGAAGTAGTCAACTGCTAGAAGCGAGTCAAGTGAATTGCACAGTGAACCCCTAACGGTAGCGTATTTACCCAACCTCCCCAAGAGGCAGGATGCGGCAAAAGGCCAATCTTTATGTGGAGTAAAACCGAGCCCGTAGGCTCGGGCAAAAATTTCCCGAAGACCCCGCATACACGTGATCAGGTCTGTCTATCTCCCCGAGCGAGGCTGTTCCCTTCTCCATAACCTCGTCTGGGTTAATTTCTGCCCGAAGGCAGAGAGTTCGACAACCATCAAGTATCTGCCTGCCCACTCTGAAGACAGGTGGGAAGTGATCTCCAAATGAAGGTGATTTACCCAACCTTCCACGAGGCGGGATGCGGCAAAAGGCCAATTTTTATGTGGGGTAAAACCGAGCCCGTAGGCTAGGGAAAAAATTTCCCGTAGACCCCGCATTCACGAGGTCGGGTCTGTCTATCTCCCCGTCCGGGTTCCTGTCTGCGCGAAAAGAGAAGGGTTCACCAAAAGAGAAGGGTTCATCAAAAGAGGATGAAGAGATAGGGAGAGACCAAAAATGGAAGAAGGGACTAAAAGAAAATCGGTCATCAAAAGAGGAAGTCGGTATTTAAAGAAAAAGGGGGCCTCAAAAGAGAAGGGTTTATCAAAGGTGTAGGGGCATCAAAAGAGGGGGAAGAGACCAGAAGAGACAGGAGAGACCAAAAAATGAAATATGGAACCAAAAGAAAATTGGTCATCAAAAGAGGAAGTCAGTATTAAAAGAGGAAGTGGCATCAAACGAAGATGAAGGGACCAGAAAAGGCAGGAGGGATCAAATATTAAAGAATGAACCAAAAGAAAAGCAGACTCCAAAAGAGAAAAGAACAATGCAGTTTTTATTCTTCTGCCAGATCATATTAGCAATCAAATCTAACAAGTGAGACTAAATCGACACAAATTTGTCAAAAAGTTTTGGTTCCATTTTTTTCGTTATTCGGTAGTAAAAAGTTAGCGTTCTAAGTATGCGTCTCAGGTTCGAATCTCATCGTGGTCAATTAATTAAGGTGCTGACCTTTTGATATTATCGGCTAAGGTGCTGACCTTTTCATAATATCGGCAAAAATTTCAGACCCTGCATACACGGGGTCAGGTCTCTCTGTCTCCCCGAACAAGACTCTACCCTTCGGCCTAGCCTCGTCCGGGACCCCGCATACAATCCCAGTTGGGAAGTGCCTGAAACCTGCAAGCCTTGTAAATGAAATTGGAGTAGATTAAACTGTTCAGATGCACGTATTTGTCATCGCCCTACAGGCAGATAAGAGCTCTTTAGCGTTGGTTGGCAATCGATTTAGAGATGGTAACTTGATTTTAAAAGAATCCCCATACAGCCTAACCACTCCTTGTCATGTATCGATAAGTCACTTATCGATAAGTCTTTTTTAAACACACACATAAATATAGTATAGTATGGCTGGCCACTCGTATTCGAGAATACCCATCTACTAGGGCGACTAACCAATCCCTATTGCAGACGCTTGCTCAGGTACATTTCAACACCCACAGAGCCCACCTGTGGTTTATACTGCAACTCTGCTGAGCAGACCTTAGTTACAGTTTCTGGGAGAAACAGCGTATTATCTAGCGTTACCAATTTGAACAAGGCCCAAGTCCTTGTGACTTCGTACTAGCCACGTCTACCCAATTTCACTCACAAGGCTTGGGTCAGCACCGGGTATGGTTTTTCAGGCACTTTCCTGTGTGCTTCCCGACAAATCGACGATGGTGAGATTCGAACCCGAGTCTCACTGTCAGAACGTTCAAGCCACTCGGCCACGTGTCCACACACACACACATATATATATATATATATATATATATATATATATATATATATATATATATATATATATATATATATATATATATATATATATATATATATATCATCGTCATCCACAGACAGACTGTTTCGCAGCTCATCAGTGTGGCTAGACATCCGGTTGCCTCTAGCTAGGATCGAAACCCGACTGAATTGGTGTCAGTCGGAGATTCTAACCACACGGTAGGGATGAAAGTGGATTTTTTTAGCCTATTTATTTGTATAAATACGCCCAGTGACCGACAGTGACTCAATTCGCATCTGCGAATATATATATATTCCCTGTTGAGAATTGAAACTCGCATATTACGATATCAGGCAAACGTCATACCAACTGTACCAACGGGCCTCGGTAACGAAGAGGTAAATAATTAGTTCTCGATATAGCGCCGCTCGATCACATATTCCGTGGTGGAACTCATCCGAGTTTCCCTCACCCATAGGACTGTGCCCCCACCAGCCACGACTACTATCCCTAAGCCGCTCAGTCCAGAGCATTAGAAGCCGGTTCAAGCAAGGATATACACATGATAAAAATTATTAAGAGAATTTGAGATAATCTTAAGTAATTCATTGAGTCTAGAAGATAACTTAACAGAATGCGGAAAGCACTGGACGGCCGTTTGAATTGAAACCCGTTTATATATCTAAATATTTGTGTCTATATAAATAACGTATAACAATAAAATATATTAAAATAATTGTTGCACTTACTCCATTTTATAGTGTGTGCCGTCAAAATATATATATATATATATATATATATATATATATATATATATATATATATATATATATAGGAAAAAAAATTCTCAGAGTTAGAAAACGACAATATTTATAAATGTAAAAAACAATAGGAAAACTGTAATAGTTGCCGACGCGTTTCGTCCAATGTGGACTTTCTCAACGCAAAAACGAAATGAATTTATTAAAACAAAGTAGCTAATAATAACAAACCAAAATTGACCTTGTAAACGGGAACTCTCCTCTGTGGTGAAATCGGTAAAATCACGTCAGGCTATATGACGGTTCCGTATAGGATACAGGTTCGATTCCTATCGAAGGGCGCATATTTTCTATGACAATTTCTCGGACATTCAGGCCAGTAAATGCTATTAATACTGTTTATTATAAACATATTTATTTAAATATTTGTATCTATATAAAAAAAAATGTTTCAACATAAAAATGACTTTATGTATAAGGAAGAGGAATAAATAATTCTAAAAATATTTTACTTATGGATTGCCACCAAAAAGGGTAGCGTACTCCGCGGAGTATTTTACTCTTTTCGGTGTGAAGCCATAAGCAAATTCTTTTTAGAATTATTTATTTCCCTTCCTTATAAAATGTTCTGTCATGTGGAGACTCGTCCTGTTAGGTTGATGTAGAGCACTTTGAAGACTGTGTCTTTGATAGCCTTAAAAGCAATCCCCTCCACTTGGTCCTTTTGCTCCGTTTACCATTGAGCACTTTTTCTCAAACTGGAAAACCATTTCCGGTGAAAATATATACATATATATTTTTAAGGGGAAGATTTTATTTCCATCTTGGCCGACTAGGCTACCCTCTCCCCTGCCCTGGGGAGTTTGGTCGGTGTTCTTACCGACTATGACTCTTGCCATCTTGAACTGGCCTGGGTGGAGAAAGGTACCTATTTTCGATCTCACATCGATCGTCTGAAGACTACGCTGCACTTGAAACTCACACTCGTGGCCGGTCACTGCTTTACCGGAATTTAGTTTATATATATATATATATATATATATATATATATATATATATATATATATATATATATATACGGTTGGGGAAACAAATATTCGTACACATACAAATTTTTAATTTATTGTATTTTCAAGTAATGTATAAACATGTTTTTCATATAATTAACTGTACAATTGCATAATAACTAAATATGCATAAAAACAAAAAAATTGATTTAATAGAAATAAATCCCACTTATCCATTTTAATGGGTGAAAAAAGTATTTGTACAATACAAAAAAGAATATATAATCTTCATTTAATACTTTGTAGAATAGCCATTATTCACTTCTACACCAACCAACCTCTTTTTATAGTTCTCAATTAATGATTTGCAATACCAAGTTGGTATTTTGTTCCATTCTTCTTCGCCTATGGTCTTTAGATCCGGGATGTTTGTTGGAGCTCTCGACTGGATTTGAATTTTCAAATAACGCCACAGATTCTCGATTGGGTTTAAATCTGGGGACTGACTTGGCCATTTCGGGATATTTACATAATTTTCAGCAAACCATTTCTTCTTAGATTTTGCAATGTGCTTAGGATCATTATCTTGTTGGAAGATCCAACCAGGAGGAAGTTCAAGATTTTCAACCGAATTCATTAAATTTGCTTCCAAAATATTTTGATATGCTGCGGCAATCATTCTACCACCTATTACTGATATAATGCCAGTACCTTTCGCAGAAAAACATCACTAAACCACGATGCTGGCACCACCAAATTTGGAACTGTAGAAACTATGATTCCCAAACCGCGAAGAGAGCGACGCGAAACCTCTGGCCATTTATGACCATTCGTAGATAATAACAAAAAGGAATCTTTGGAAAAGCCATTATCGCCTATGAATGGTCATGCTCCCGAAAAGCTAAACTTTCAGCATATACATATAGTTGTAGATGCTCTCAAGCCTAAATCTATTATCTATGCTTGTCTAACCAAATATTCACTGCCTTATGAAACTTGCGACTTGTTTTCCAAAAATAACTGTAACTAAAAAGATTTATCCTGTTCTTGGAAATGGTAAAAATTCGTCTTATTTCCCAGCCACTACCACCGTCCATAGATTAAATAACAGGAGAGACTGGACTCTCTAGCCTTGGACGTGAATTAGTTGAGGTGAAGCCAATGGAAAACCACTCCACATTTCTCAAGATATCACGGTAATTCACCGATCATAAAGAAATGGAAATAGTGGAGAGACATTATTGCCTACGTCATGAATGGACATGGCTCTTGAAGATGGAGGCCGTCAATATAAACGTCTTCTGGAAGATGCTGTCCGCTTTAAATCTATTATCTACGTTTGTCTAACCAAACATTTGCTGCCTTATTTAGCAACCTGTTTTCCAAAATAACCTGCAATTGGTAAGAAAACTATCCCGCAGAAATCCCTCTTTTCTCCCCATCACCGCCAGCTGTATGTTAAATAGCAGGGTAGAATAGTCTCTGTAGCTTTGAGTGACAACATATATTGAGAAAAAAGACGGACGCTGGAAACAAAAAACCGTGAAGGAAACGGAAAACCACTCCAGTATATTCCCCAAGAAGTTATGACAATTCACAGATAATAAAGAAACGGAAGTCGTGGAGAGCCAGAATCACATACATTTCTGAAAGAACAGGGTATTTAAAACAATAATATGGATTGCTTACTGTAACAAGTTCCTGGATTTCTCACTTTAAAAAAATACTTTGTATTTACCACATAAATTGGCAGATATTTTAACTCGATGAATGTATTGTGAATAAAATTCAGCATCTAATTCTAGTAACTCTGGAATAGAGAAAGATGCCTTCCAAAAGCTAAGCAAAGTGTTAAGAAACAAGAAAAAATGTTAAAATCGAAGAAAAGAGAGAACTATGAAATATCATTTATTATAGATATCGGTGAATGCTGGATAATCTCCTCCCAGATGTTAAAGGAGACGAAGGAACAGAAACGTAGCTCTACAGAAGGATACTGAGAATACCACGGACGGAAGATGCGAGTAACAAACGGGTTTTGGAAGCAAAAAGAACGCTTACACTTAGAGTCAGAAAAGGACAATTGAAATTACTTGGACATAATGCGGATGAGGATTTTGGGAATTTGATTCTCAGAGGACACGTTTAAAGCAGGAGGTGGAGTGGTGAGGAGACAGCGATTAAACAGTTTGTATAAATGGATGGTAGGGTTTAGAGCTACAATGGACAGAAATTCGCGGAAAGTTGAATGTAGAATAAAGAGAAAAAAAAACCTTTATTCTATAAACAACACGATCACTTGATAAGACACCAGAAGTGTTGAAACAAAATGGCTATTTTTGTAGTGATTTTATAACATTTTATGTTATAATTTTCGAATAAATAATTATATTTGCTCTACTCTGTATTGAGCACTCTTTTAAGAATAGTATTTGTTGGAAATTGGAATTTTTTCCGTATACACCAATCTTATACTTGCATATATATATATATATATATTTATTAAAGACATTTTTATGTTTAACGTTCTTTTTTATAGATACAAGTATTTAAGTAAATGCTCTGTTTATAATAAATAATATATGACGTCATTTGTTTACATTTGATACGCCAGAGCAGTTATGAATGTACGAGATTCATGGAAGATTGAATTTTATAAGCAGTAAATTCGACTTTGCCTACCGAGTGATCCATTGTGGCCGAGTCGGTTAAGGCACGTCAGCGTAAATGACGGTTCCGTATAGGATGCAGGTTCGAATCCTGTTAAAGGACGAATATTTTCTATGAAAATTTTTCGGACATTCAGGCCAGTAAATGTTATTTAATACTGTTTATTATAAACAGAGCATTTACTTCAATACTTGTATCTATAAAAAAGAGCGTTAAACATAAAAATGTCTTTAATAAATAAATTGTCGGACTTTGTCCATTTCTTAATATATATGTACACACACACAGACTGTGTAAATTGTCGCCATTATATTTTTTAATTTATATCTTTTATCTTATATAGGTTTCAATGATTTTTGTTCTTTTTATTTTGTTGATTGTCTGCACAGTACAGTTAGTTTAGTTGGGCACCTTCTGTAAGAAAAAAAAGGCACCATGACGCAATTCTCTCTGCCAGAAATTTTGGAAATGTCATGCTGTACTGCTTGGCATTTGCACCAGAAGTTCCAATACAAACATTTCATTGTGTTAGGGTGAGCGTGCAGAGGATTTAGAAAAAGGGATAAGTGCAATGGTTTTTACGAAGGTACGGCAGCTCGGAAAACTTACTATGATCTTTCTGATAAAAAAAGAATTCCTGAATTTGTTGGTGAGACCTAAACGGGGGCCTACATCAAATGCCTTGAAGAGGTAGTGCTGTCCTGGATCAAGAGGGTGGCTGCTGGAAGACCCTATTTCTGGCAACTGGGCGCTGCACCATGCCACACAAGCAGGAGAACGCAGTCATGGCTGTTAGACAATTTCTGCGACCACATCACTCTTTACATCTGGCCACCTAACTCTCCAGACTGCAACCCCCCCTTGATTATTATTTGTGGGGCGCAGTTGAGCGAGAGACCAACAAAACTCCTTGTAACATCAAAGATGAACTGAAGCCAACGATTATGACGGCATTCAGCAACTTAAACAAGGAGACCGTCCAGAAGAGATGCAGGAGATTCTGATAGATAAGGAAGAGACTGTGATAGATAGATAGATAGATAGATAGATAGATAGATAGATAGATAGATAGTCTTTTTTCTGATCGAACGCAGCCTTCATGCCTGAAGATGGTGATCGCGCGTGAAATAGACTTCGCCGCTTGGATATTGGCCTCAGTGTCCAATTTTATATTTACATTCTCTCTATCTCTGATATTGAGCACTTTTACCCGTGAATATAGCATCCCTTAAAACTATACTCGTATCATATATATATAGGTACCTCCAATAAAGACGATATTTAAAATACATTTTAAAATAATAAAAAAAATCTTTATTTTAATTTTAATTGCAAGCTAATAGATTAAATTTAATATTTCCAACAGGCAAAATACTTTACTGTATTTGAAACCGAATTTTAATTGATTGAAATTTTTTCTGATTATTAGTAAAATCGATAAAATAATAAAATGTCTTTAGTGAAAAGTCTTTTAAGGATCTCCTCAAAGCAACTGTGAGATTATTGCACTTGACGCGTAAGAGAAATTCTACAGCTATCTGGCGTTATCAAAATAGTATAAAAGAAAAGGGTAAAAAATCCTTTTGTACTTTTCATCTTTTCTTCGCAGGATGCTTTAGTGATATGACGTGTCTCGTTTCCCTTCCCATGAGTTCTTGTGGCGACCAGCGGACTTATATTTTCGTATAGGAAAAATGATTAATTTATGTCGGAAGTTTTTTAGATCAAGAATTATAATTATTAATGCCATTTTAATTCCGATAAGTAGAATTCTCTTGATTGTTAGACTCACAATAATTTCGCCGTTTTACTCTTCGGCCTTCTTTAGAAGTCTGCCGTATTTAGTAACCTTCGGATATTCGAACCGAACACTTTATTCAATATATAAGGTAGTTTATTCGCTTGCGGCTTTCCAAGCTTAGGGAAGACAACTCGTACCCGTTATATTCACACGCATTATTCCCCTTTGTGTCGCTTGTCCTGTCCTGTCCTGTCAATGAAATATGGCTTTTCGGTACTACTAGACCCAACATTCACACAACATTTCGGCCGTTGTACGCTTCGGTCTTCTTCATTGATTGCTATGATTTACTCACTCATTCATTCATTCATTTCCTACTGTTTATCAACCCTTTGCAGGTTACTTAAAGCCAGAAAATATTTTTTAGATTTCTTTTGGAGTTAATGATGGTTTACAAATATAAATATATATCTTCCTAATTAACCCATAGTAAAGGGAAGAAGTGGATTCATGCCTTTCTCAGTGGTATTTGTGCGTAAGTGAATATGACGAACCGAACAAGAATTGAAACTCGGCTCTCCAATTGACAATTCCGAGCCATTATCCATTACACCACTCGCACATCCACCTAGTTTTCCCAAGTGGTAGCCCATATTGGTACTGACCAGGATCAATGTTGCTTAACTTTGGTGATTATACGAGAACCGGGCTTTCAACGTGATATAGCTGTAATTTTCGGTTTTCTTCGGTATTCGGTAACCTTCTTGGAATTTTGAACCGAGCCCTTTTTTCGATTTATGTGGCTAAATTAATCTCATTCATTTTCCCATGTTTAAGGGAGATAACTCATATCAGTTAATATTTTTCAATCTCTTTGTCACTGTGTCGTTTGTTCGTCTCTTCCACTGAACTAATTAAAGTATCCTAATGTTGAGGTTGTCAAGTCGAATCCTTGACTTGAATTCAATTAGATAACCAAGTTCACTTTCCGACCATTGATCTTAGATTCGAATTTCACTATGGTCGATCAGAAAGGCGGTCTTGGTACTATGGGCCTGAGTAAGTAATACCAGCTAGCGGTGGCTTTGGAAAGTGCCTGAAAACCATACTACTGGTCGACCCAAGCCTTAAGGTGAATTTACGTAGGCAGAATTGTTCGTCAATTGTTATGCTAGCATGAAATAACAAGTCATCGTGGCCGAGGGTGTGAGCGTATTTGCTTTATTCAAACAGTTGATTACGTCAGATGATGCGCTTCTTTCCAGAAACTGTAACTAAAGCCCGCTCAGCACACTTGCAGCATAAGCCGTAGGTAGGGTGACTGCGTGCTGAGGAAACATCTATGTGCCTGAGCAGGCACCTGCAACAAGGATTGGCTAGCTGTCCTAGCAGGCAAATCAGGGTCGATTCAAGAGTGGTCGGCTTATTGTAGCTCTGGACTGCGTCCTATAAATGCAGGTCATTTTTATGTATGTGGCAGTGAATCTGAACAATTTGGTTCTATACTGAGAATACCGTGGATTGTTCATGTGAGCAAAGAGGAAGCTTTAATGAAGCGAAAAGAAGACATAATTAAAACCAGAAAGAGCTTAAATATCTGGAACACGTAATGAGGACAGATGGTTTGGAGAATTTGTCACTCAGAGGGAAACGGGGATATCTAACGAGCTTGCGTGAATGGATGGTAGAATATTAAGAATAATAATGAGAGGAACATTTCTTAGAGCTGCAAGAATATAGGATGTTGTGATAACAGAGATCTTGAATACGGAGATAGGGCTTTTATAGGTATAGACAATGTGGACATAGAAATCAACAGTGCATGGTGACTGTCAGGTTCACCAGTTAAGCAGTCATCATAAGACAGATAGATACTCCTCTTTTATGCGCTTTATTTTTGTACCTTATGGAATATGGCATCTCTTCATTGTCTCTCCTAAGCACAAGTACGGTGAGTTAGAGTTTGAATTGATGTTGGATCGTCAAGCCTTCGCCTTCATTCCCAACAACTTGGAGATAGATGGGTCGAGGTACCTTATAATTATAACGGAGTTGAAACCGACGTGCTGAAAGTTGGGCAAGACTTGTCATTTTGCCTCTTCCTGTCCAGAGAAGAAGACCACTGTTCCACTCTTTTCCGACCAAAACACCTCTAGTGCTAAAGACTCTTTAAGTGCGACCAAAGTTCTAAGCTGCGGAATCTCAGTCCCTTAAAGCGCCTAAACGTATCGGTACTAACAGTTTGAGTCGAAAGGGCGAGGTCAGTGGAATTTACGCCCAGAAAATCCGGGAAGATAGACGACGTTACGAACCGTCCCGTGAGAAAATCGAGAAGCTGGACGAAGACATCTGGCGCGTATCCCCGGCCCCGGGAAAATACCAAGGAGTATAGCAAGATAATTCAAGAAGTGAAGATACTAATTGCCATATACAGGTGTTGTGATAAAGCTGTGGAGGTCTCTCGCAATTTTCCGGGGGCAAAGGGGGTCCTTATTGTCATTAGAAAAGGTATGGGATCATAGCAGATATGACCAATGGACGAGGAAGGGAACAAGAACATCGCGCTCTCACTGGTATTCCTGAAAAGTGAAAAAAAAAATGAACAAAATTAAAGCAGTTTTGCTGTGGGAGGATCCCTACCTTCGTTCACCCATCTCTCTATAGATCCTTCAAATACACCTTTCCCTGGCATATCGATGGCATATCTCAGAACGGTCCTGTTAGAACTGAGATGAGCATTGGGTCGATGAGACAGACCGTTGATGTCCTCACCCACGACTATAGGGAGGAAGCTGAATCCTAAAGTTGGCTGGCTACTTTGAATGTCCGAAGCCTAAGGTCGGAATCTCCCAGGGCGAGATACGTTTGCGATCTTCAGCGCCTCGGGGTGCATGTTTATTGTTTGCAGAAGACCCATCTGATTGCTGGCGACTGTGTGGGTATAGTCTCGAAGAGGTTTCACCTCTGGTTACCTTATCTTGATAGTCGCTCAGAGAAGTTTCTTGACGATTCAACATCAATTCAATTGCCCTTGACAGCGTTGTGGGATCTTCTGTTTCTTATGTCCTTTTCTTTGCCTTCGATCTATTCATAAGGGATGTCCCCTTTCGCCTATGTTTAACGTCCTTGCGTTGCAACCACTCCTGATTTAAAGGCGAATCAGATTCTTCGCGTAATCTCATTGCCTGGTGCTACCACCTCGGTCAGGTATTCCGCCTATGCTGACGATGTGTCTGCGTTCGTAAACAACGTTGAAATAGATTCAGGTATGAGACGGTGGCGTAGGTCAAAATCAACCGCGATAACTCGACAATTGGGCGAGTGGGAATTCAGTTGGATGGATAGGCCGGTCAAGATGCTTTGTATTTGGTTTGGTCCTGGACTATAGCTGGAGATGAATTGGTCGGATGTTCGAGAGAAGTTCGAGGCTATAGCTTGTCTATGGCCTAAGAGAAATCTTCCATAAAGACGGAACGGAAATTTGTGCTACGCACATCTACCCGATTCTCTTTTACCCTCTCTCCGTTCTTCCACTTCCGTCTCACAAACTAATGGATTTAACTTGACACTTTTTCTGCTCCCTCTGGAAGGCAAGTCTTCTATAGCGTGTCGCGAAGTCTGTTGCCTATATTCTTCTGGACGTGGTCTGGGAATACCGGGCCTAGACATTAGCCAACATACACTCCGCTTGAACTTCCAAAAACGAATGTGTTCGCAAGTGGACGGTAATGGTAAATTCTGAAATGAAGACACCAATCTTTCCTGTCACTGAAAAATAGGCATACGAACGAAGAAGTGGAGCACCGATTGCCCCGAGCCTAATGCATGGGAATGTCGAACACCTCTTACAGGTAAAGGATCACCTCGCATTGTCTCAGAAGGAGCTATATTAAATGTTAATGGGGAGAGTAAGGTACGGCTTGAGATGATCATATTGACAAGTTCGGCCTTACGAAACAGGAATATAGCTCCATTTGACCTTTGGCACCCGTATTGAAATGTCTCAACCTTACGAAACAGGAATTAACTCCATTTGACCTTTGGCATCCGTATTGAAATGTCTCGACCTTACGAAACAGGAATTAACTCCATTTGACCTTTGGCATCCGTATTGAAATGTCTCGACCTTACGAAACAGGAATTTAACTACATTTGACCTTTGACACCCGTATTGAAATGTCTCCACAACGACGAGGCATAGATCACCTAGCTGGTGCTGCAAGGGACCCTCTGAGTCGGCAAGAAGCTTTTCGCAGCGAGGCTGGGCATTTCGCCCCAGCGCGTCCGCTGTGGTGATTTGGGGTCCATTGGACATGCCTTCTTTCACTTCGGTGTCGTGCGCCTGTTGTGTGAGCCGATTGAAGACTACATGGCTCGCGTCTTAGATGGAATGTTTATTTTTGTTTTTTTGTTTGTTTTTTTGTTTTTTTTGTCCTGGACGTCAGTCCTGGTAACGACACTGAAGATGGAGCAGCTACGATGTCTTGCGTTTGCTGTTAATTAGGCGAGTCGTGGTGTGGACGACGAGGCAAAGGATTTTCATGGCGGCGAGAAATTCGCTTCTCTAACGATCTCTTTCTTTAAACATCAGCTTAAAATTAAGGTCAGCGCGGAAAGGGCGCGACTCTCTTCATCGAAATACGGCGAAAAGTGGGTAATTCTCGCGGTTTGTGCGAGTGTCAACCTAGAGTGGTTTTTGGATGAAACATGGGAAACAGGATTTCGTGTCCCTCATCTAAATTATCAGCCATCCCTGTTTAAGTTAAAATTGATTGGGACAGTTTGTCTTTTGAGACTTTCGGTTTAACTTATCTAAGCTTTGCAAGTGCACAAGTCCTGTTTATTTTTGTCCTTTTTATATCTATTCGCCAACCTCATCCCCTCTTAGTTGACAGATTTCTCAGTTCATGGTGGGTGCAAGACCAATTCGAAATTATTATTCTCTCTTCGTTTTGATTCTTGCATTATTTCCGACAATTTAACAGATTTTTTGCCACAATCTAGTACCGTCCCGAAAAAATAAACTAAATCCGCGTCCTGAGTAAGACGATAAACTACATCCGCGTCCTGGGTAAGACGATAAACTACATCTGCGTCCTGGGTAAGACGATAAACTACATCCGTGTCCTGGGTAAGACGATAAACTACATCCGACTCCTTGGTATGACGATAAACTATATTCGCGCCCTGGGTAAAACGATAAACTACATCCGACTCCTGGGTATGACAATAAACTATATTCGCGCCCTGGGTAAGAAGAAAAACTACATCCGCGTCCTTGATGAAACGATAAACTACATCCGAGTCAGCATTACCCTGACGATCCGTTTAGGTGAAACCTAGGTAGGTTTGCCTGGCTCCTTAAGTTTATCTTAGGTTTGCTTTACTTCGTGTATTGAGCACTTTACGTAGTTGCTTTTACTCATTTTGGAGGTTTTAGTCTTTGGACTCTGAGCTTGAACTCTGGACGATTGTTTCGCCTCAATTTCATGTTCTTAGTTTTTTTTCTTCCTCATTTTTCCTTGGGTACTGGTTTGTTCTACTACAAGCCGAAATACCCAAGGTTTTTCCAAGCGAGTACCACCATATATATATATATATATATATATATATATATATTGAAAAAGGTTTTTCTGGCCTGTTAGGGGCCAGAAAGAAAGACACGGGAAGAAAAAGGTAGGTTAAACAAGTTTATTGAAATAACAGATATATACAAAGTAAGAGTGTGATTAGTCAGCAGATAGAGGTGTCCGTCCGAACTATCAGGTTACACTGCGTCTCGACTGCCAATATTTAACAGTCCTCTCACGAGGAATGTATATGGCACAAGGCCGAGTTTAACGTGGGTTTCTCAGAACCTGCATAAGCTGGTTCGAGATCTGTCTACCTCCCCGGACGAAACTTTGCCCTTCGGCAAAGCCTCGACCGGGTTCCTCTCTGTCAAAGCAGAGAGTTCGACAGAAGTCGCACACAGTCAGAGACTGTGTCTCGACTATCTCCCTTAGGAAGTCTCGCAGGTTAGTATTTATGAAAAGGAAGAAGAGTTCATTCCCATGTAGGTAGGTACCATACAAAAATATTACCAGCAATAAAAATCTTGTCGGTATTAAATAACCCATCTAGGTTGATATACCGTAAAACAAGCCAAACCAAACAATCTAGTTTTGTGGGTGAGTCAAATACTAATAGTGCTTTGTTTAGTTTGTTGTATATATATGTTTTTAATCAAACTTACCCAACCAAAGCAGTAAGGCTACAAAGGTACAAGGGGTTATTGGGTGTGAAAGAATCAGAAAACTCTATGAAGGAGTAAGAACAATAGAAGACTTATCAAGAAGACAGTAGATAACGATTGATATTGCATTGAAATCACTGAAGATCAATGTTGGGTGGAAAGCAAGAAGCCTAAAGAGTGCTTCACGCGTGAGAAGTGCGAGAGAAGAAACTGTTAGCATAGAACTTACGGTTACATCTAGTCATTTCGACTCTGAAATGATGAGACCTTGCCGCCAATCTAGTACTGCGCTTACATTCATAAAGTCTAGGTAGCATAGAAGAAAGTTTATCAGAACAATTGCCATGAAAATATTTATAGAAAAGACAGAGGAATGCAACTTTACGACGGTGGGGAAGCCTGAAGCCGAGACGCCAGGTTAGGACCAATAATATTGCTGATTGTCCTTGGGATTTTGAAATGAATCTCCAGATTTCTTTCATTGTATAAAAGTCATTGGGGATTAGTATTTTGGACTCTCCCTCAACCTCCCCCCCCCCCGCCAAAAAAAATTGTACATATAAATTTTAAAGTTAGGAATTTCATTTCTGTTAAGAGTAAATGTGAAAAGTATTTGTGTGACACTTATTAGGTTAAGATAAGAACACCAGCCTTTCCCATCATCCATTTGACCTTGTACCTCACTTGTACATCATGTATAATAAATATTCATTCTTTTCGGATTGGAACCAGCATATATTCAATAATAATAATAAGAAGAAGAAGAAAAAGAAGAAGAAGAAGAAGAAGAAGGAGGAGGAGGAGGAGGAGAAAAAAAAGACGAATAATAATAATAAGAAGAAAAAGAATATATTATAATAAGAAGAAGTAGAAGAAGACGGAGGAGGAGGAGAAGGAGGAGGAGGAGAATAATAATAATAATAATAATAAGAAGAAGAAGAAGAAGAAGAAGAAGGAGGAGGAGGAGGAGAATAATAAAAAGACGAATTATAATAATAATAATAAGAAGAAGAAGAAGAAGAAGAAGAATATATAATAATACGAAGAAGAAGGAGGGGGAGGAGGAGGAGAATAATAATAATAAGAAGAAGAATATATAATAATAAGAAGAAGAAGTAGAAGAAGGAGGAGGAGGAGGAGGAGGAGGAAGAGGAGAATAATAATAATAAGAAGAAGAAGAAGAAGAAGAAGAAGGAGGAGGAGAAGAAGAAGAAGAAGAAGGAGGAGGAGGAGGATAAGGAGGAGGAGGAGAAGAAGAAGAAGAAGAAGAAGGAGGAGGAGGAGGAGAATAAGAAGAAGACGAATAATAATAAGAAGAAGAAGAAGAAGAAGGAGGAGGGGGAGGAGGGGGAGGAGGAGGACAATAATAATAATAAGAAGAAGAATATATAATAATAATAAGAAGAAGTAGAAGAAGGAGGGGAGGAGGAGGAGAATAATAATAAGAAGAAGAAGAATATATAATAATAAGAAGAAGAAGTAGAAGAAGGAGGGGGAGGAGGAGGTGGAGGAAGAGGAGAATAATAATAATAATAATAATAATAATAATAAGAAGAAGAAGAAGAAGAAGAAGAAGAAGAAGAAGAATACTACATGAAGTTTCCTAAAAACTTTATCACCTTTTGCCTAATCTGCCTCGCTGGTAATCTTAGGGCTGGCAGATTTAACATTTTAGGTAAGCCCCCTCTCTAAACAGAAATTGGGTTCCATGCACTAATGGGTATAAATAGCTTCATCAGCCTAGCTTAGTAGGAGTGAATTAAAACAAAGAATATATGAGAATTTCTTATCTCAATAAGTCTGCGAATGTCTTTTTGGGCGGAGGTCTTCGCCAAATCTTTCCCTTAGTTATTCATGGGGAGGACTGGGCCTCTGTCCTACATTATAACCCACAACTTCTACTTCTACTTCATAAGCCTTTTGCATTGGTTTAGTCATTTTGTGGTTAACAACGTGGCACTACTTAAATACAATGGTCCACTCATAAAAAAAAAATTATGAGGGGTGGGGGATAATGTTTATAGATTATCATTCATTAGAACTACATTTATGTGGCTTCTGTTATTTTGTACACTGTGATTGTGTAGCGCCAGTTCTCAAGGTTCGAAGACGGATGATCCTCCTACATGCTTCATTCTTTCGAAGTCGTTTTTAATCATTGATCTGAGAAAACGGTTGAAAGATTTCTGAAAGATTCCAGAAACATTTCTGAAAGATTCCTGAAAGATTCCAGAAACATTTCTGAAACATTTCTGAAAGATTCCAGAAACATTTCTGAAAGATTTCTGAAAGATTCCTGAAGCATTTCTGAAACATTTCTGAAAGATTCCTGAAACATTTCTGAAAGATTCCTGAAACATTTCTGAAACATTTCTGAAAGATTCCTGAAACATTTCTAAAAGATTCCTGAAACATTTCTGAAAGATTTCTGAAACATTTCTGAAACATTTCTGGAAGATTCCTGAAACATTTCGGAAAGATTTCTGAAACATTTCTGAAACATTTCTGAAAGATTCCTGAAATATTTCTGAAACATTTCTGAACGCGTTCCGCATCATGCATGAAACATATGAAAATCTCGCTATTTAAGAACATAACTCAAGTTTTTATGTTAATGTTTTCGTTTTGTAGTAACTTGTTGTATTGTGCGAAACTATCCCGAGCGCAGTCTTAAAAAATCGGCAGTTGTGGGACAAGTCGTAACAGTTTATAAGCACGCCTTCTATCGCTGTTCGTTTAAAAAATATACAGAAAATGAAAATCGATATTTTCCAAGATGATTGTTTTTTATTGATTTGTTTTTTTTACGTCTTATCAACCCTTTGCTGATAAGCTAAAGAAGCATTTTTTGTAATCATTTCACCCCAAGCAAGGCAATAACGTGTCTAAGACACAAGAATGAAAGACTACGTGTGAAAGAATATGAGAAAAAAAAATTTTAATGGGTGTGAACAATAAAAGAACCGGAAATAACCCATTAACTGCTATTTTTTTTAATGCGCATTTTTTACCCAGACAGTTGTCTTAGGAGTTTATTTATTTCTTATGTTTAATTTCAGTAGTTATCATTGTCATTTTTATAGAAACTAGAACATCAAATGTATATGTGTATAAAACATCAAAAAATAATATTGATTAGAAATAAAAAAAATGCTTTTCAAAATAGTCATTATTTTCTACTCGTGAAATGTAAAATTACGACAGAAAGTGTTTTCTTACGGTTAATAGTAAAAACTTTAAAGGCTAAGTGTTGTAAAATATACCTCTGCAAATGCAATGTATGTAAGCAATGCAATGTAAATATAAGGAATAACACGTAGTGAGTTTAATTTTAACAGATCCCCAAAGGGGACTCATGTCAGGTAATGGGTTAAGAAGACAGAAGATAACGACTGATATTGCATTTAAATTTCTGAAGATCAAAATTCACTTGAAAGCAAAAGGCAAGAAATGAGTTTCCCAAGCGCGAAGTGCAAGAGAAGAAACTGTTAGCATAGAACTTACGGTTACATCAAGTCATTTTAACTGTAAGATGATGAAACCTTTCTACTAATCTAGTACTGTGCTTAAATCCATAAAGTCCAGGTACCATGAGAATATTCATAGAAAAGGTACAGGGAAGCTACGTTACGGCGGTAGGGAAGGAACTGAAGCCGAGATGCCAGATCAGGAACAATAATATTGCAGATTCTTATTTGTATTTTGTCAAAAATCTCTAAATACATAGCAGAAGCACCAGACCAAATGTGGCAGAAATATTCAAAATGGTCCCCCATCTAATCATTGACTAAGCTCGACAACGCTTAACTTTGTTAATCGAATGAGAATCGGTGCTTTCAGTGTGACCTGACCATAAATGAACAGTGCTGAGAGTTTAAAAAGATTTTGCGTTGCAAAATTAATTTAGCACGAATAACACGTCTCTCTTTGTCTTGAGTTGTGTAAACCTTTGCGTGATAATTTTATGAAAAGTTAAAGTCCAAAATGTCGGGGAGGGAATGGCGGATAAAAGTTAATGATGATCTCGGAAAAAGTGCCGGTTCCGGGTAGTGCAAGGTAACCTTAATTGTCTACCTTAAGAAGAGTTTGCTTGTTTGTCGATCTTGTGTGCTATGGAGGCCTGTCAAACTGTCGCGTTCTATCGGAAACAATGATGCTCCTCCTGCCACTTCTTCAACATCCTCATCGGAACCTTAGCCACCACCATCATCCCCCAGACAACCCCACCCATTCCCCTTTCAACGTCGATGTATTGCATCGCTGGTTGGCATAGCAACAGGGATTTAGTTTACGGATAACCCAATTTTGTCGGGGCTTTAATAAAAGCTACACACAAAACAAAAAAAAAAACGACAAATCTAACCACTCTCTCTCTTCTTTTCTTTTTTTCCATTATATATATATATATATATATATATATATATATATATATATATATATATCCTATCCTTCTTTCTTTTTTTTCTTGTTCTTTATCTGTCCCTGATTTCCTCTCGCTTCACCGTCTTCTCCCACTCTTTTCTTTTTGTATTATTATTATTACTTTTAACTAACCAGCAAGGTTACCATGATTTCCTCAACGATATATATATATATATATATATATATATATATATATATATATATATATATATAAATAGGTACTAAGGTAGGTAAATCAAAACATTAGCAACCGTATATGCAAGCTAGCGTGCATACACAGGTAAGCAAATAAATATTTACTAAATTTACTTTAAAGTGTAAACATAACAGTGCGCGATGTGGTATATTAATAAGTATATTATATACCTACGTTTGGTGTGCGACTTAAGTTTCGTTGTTTTACCAACTCATCAGACACGAGATATAAGTTATGATTTTAAAATATAATTAAATTATTTTTTTTAAATGAAAAATCTTTCTTGGAGCCTTTAATTTAGTTTTAAATCCAAGCTAACAGCTTCAATTTATGATTTTCAATAAGAAAATGCATTGCTGTATTTCAATCTGAATTTAAATTGATTGGAATGAGTTATTTTAATTAAAAAAATCTTTCAAAAATAAATTATATTTTTCTGAAACTTTATTTAAGGTTGATTAGTTGATTTAAAGTTTAATTCATCCGATTAGAAACAAATATGACTAATTTTTATTTTAGTTTAAAATCTCGTAGAAGAGCATTTTTAACATGGAGGTGAGTGTTTTTATGAAGTGTTGGCAACTCTCACGATAGACTTATGTTTAAAAATGTTTTACGGAGGACATAACTGTAACAATTACTTGAGGAAGGTAACACAAACGCTTTTGTTGGATATTTTTTAACTACACAGTAATCTAAACATTTTAAGAAAATATTCTAAGCAATCTAATATTTTTTTTTGTATCTTAAGTACTTTGACTTTATAGTCTAACTTACATTGACGCTTGTTGAGAAAATGTCAGATAATTGCCAATAAATTTTAAATTTACTATAGTTACCGCTCTTATTTTATAATAATATCACGTTTGTACATCCGTATTTGCAAAAACTGACACGTTATTACACACATAGTATAAATACAAATTTCTTTTTTAAAAATTGGATGGTCGTTGAATTGTAGTGACCTTTTCCATTCATAATTAGTAAATACAGTTTTAATTTAATGCCAATATCACTTGACTGCTACAAAATAATACAGAATTGCAAAAGATTTAAAACTTTATAAATTATTCCAATTAAAATTTTAAAGAAAATGTAAAAAAATCTTGTAAAAATTATTTATTCATTGAAAAAAACATTTTTCTTAAGGCAAGACTGTCCGTAATATGTTTTATACATGAAATCAATTAAAAGATTTTCTGATTAAATAATGTAACCAAAATTTCGAAGGTTCGAAAAGAGATCAAAAAATATAATTTAATAATCCAAAAATACTTTTGTCTTTCCTTAATAACAAAAATTTTGACGATAAACTTTCAACGTCAAGTGAGGCTATGGTTTCATTATTAAGTTTATGAGTTTTTCGAATTTGTGGTATTTCGTGTGTTGATTTAAAGCTGTACTTATTGAGCATATATGGTGTAATTAGTTGATTAATATGCACTTTTCTCAGGCCTTAATTGTGGTGCTTTCATGAATTTATTGTGATATGCGTGGATGGTGGTAACGTCTCTTCATACTGAGAGTACCAGGTTGGCGGTTTTCTGGTTGCTGTTCCTGACATACGAACTTGACAATAAAATCTCCTTTCTTCATGGACTGATTTACACTAATAATAATACATTTGCTACCTCCCCATGTAATAAACTAACTAGCATAAACACGTGCACTCTCAACTATAAAAGTGAATGTCATAACTATTATAACTATTACGTGATTGAAATATAGAATGCAAAGTTCATCCCCAACAGAAGTAGATCGACGGTGAATGGCGCCAGGCAGAAAAAACAAATCTTTAGGGTAAGTTACTGAAAAATCTATCTATCTATCTACCACAGTCTGTTCATTTTCTATCTATCTATCTATCTATCTATCTATCTATCTATCTATCTATCTATCTATCTATCACAGTCTGTTCATTATCTATCTATCTATCTATCTATCTATCTATCTATCTATCTATCAATCAATCTATCTATCTATCTATCTATCTATCACAGTCTGTTCATTATCTATCTATCTATCTATCTATCTATCTGTCTGTCTATCTATCTACCACAGTCTGTTTATTATCTATCTATCTATTTATCTATCGAAGTCTGTTCATTATCTATCTATCTATCTATCTATCTATCTATCTATCTATCTATCTATCTCAGTGCAATATTTACATTATTCTATCCCAATCTGTATGTATGTATGTATGTATGTACGCATCTAAGTCTCTTCATATCGCAGTTTGCTCATATTCAATCTATCTATCTATCTATCTATCTATCTATCTATCTATCTATCTATCTACCAGTTTGTTCATTATCTATCTATTTCAGTACAAGATTTACATTATTCTATCGCAGTCTGTTTATATGTATGTATGCATGTCTGTATGTATGTATGTTTATATCTATCTATCTACGCATTTAAGTCTCTTCATATCGCAGTCTGCTTATATTCAATCTATCTATTCTATATATATATATATATATATATATATATATATATATATATATATATATATATATATATATATATATATTGATAGACACTAATAATATATTTGCTACCTCTCTATATAATAAACTAACTAGAGTAAACACGTGCACTCTTAGCTATAAAAGTGAATGCTCTATTATAAAATATCTATTATACGAAACTTCATAAACCGTTAAAAAACCTTCAACAAGAAAGATTTCCTATGCTGAATTAAAAAATATTAGGCAAACCCTCATTAATAATGAATTTCCTAATGACATCGTTGATGAACAAATTAGACGATCTACTGGGAATTTTAACATAAAGGTGAGCATAGTGCGTCCTCAAATAAATCTAAACATATCAAACACCTATACTGTAATCAAATGCATTCTAACTATAAACAGAGGGAAACAATTCTAAAAAGACTCATAAACACTAATATATTTTCCACAGATCCAAGTAAGAAAAATAAAATGAATAAAATACTATACTAAATTTGATACGACCAACTTAGTCGTCCGAAACAACTCTTCTCCGTCAAATCGTATATCAATTTAAATGTCTTTTGGGAGATTGCATCTCTGATAAAAAATGTTAATACGTATATTGGTTTTACAACAACGACGATGACGAGATTTCACTTGAACGATTATAGTTCAGTTTCAGAACATTTTGAGAGACACTCATGTCCATATTCACAGCTTAGACAGATATTAGTTAAAAATGCATCATCATGATAATAATTAGCAAAACCTTAAAATTCTGGAAGCCCTTTATATAACAGAATTGCGGTCAAAAATAAACTTAACTACGAGTAGAGCAATAAATTTCTGAAATGTTTGTAGCAGCAAAATGTTGTAGAAAAAATACTAAATTAAAATACTGCAATTAAAAAATCTTTAAAAAAAAAATCACGTAAGTTATTGCATAGCGGTGAAAAAATATTTTGAATTTACAGTGTTACGCATAACACATCCATATATATATGCAACCCCTGAAGATGGTCAAAGATGAGATTGAAACAACTTGGAGAAATAAAAATTATTTAAAAGAAAATTTTGGAATTTTATTTGATCAGTATTCTACAGCCACCGAGAAATTAATTCGTGGGCTTGAAAAGAAATAAACAGACATAATAATACTACTAAATTATTTAAACCAAACATGCTTGAATGAAAATATGCTGCCTATATATATACACATAAGCACGCACACACACACACACACACACACACACACAGTTGGATAAGACTGACAAGGTACTCTTGTTTAATGTTTTATTATATTTTCTTGTACAAATGTTTTCTTTTATGGACTTAATGAGTGTAGAAATTGTCTAAATGTTTGGTGATCCCGGGCGCTTTCTGCTAATTTATTCACCATTTCCAAGAATTTTAGTTAGACTGTTATAATAAATGGTTTGCAAGTACAATTTACATTGAACGTCTGCAATCTATTATGTCTTCAATCATGAAAATCAACACCAATAAAGGCTTTTCCAATTTAGTATAAACTAGCAATAGAGCCCGGCGTTGCCCGGGGATGTAACAGTAAGAGATAGATCAAGTATCGACCATTATAAAGACTGAAAAATAAAATTGACAAAGATTATTGTTTAAGGTTGACCGACACGCATGTCTTAATTTTTTTTTTTTTTTTTTTTTACGAATTGGTCAAACCCAAACTCATCCAAAACATTGTTTTCAATCGTTATGAGTCTACCGATTGAATAGAATTTTATTATAAACAATTGTCTTGTGAATGGAATTTTTAAAGCATCCTGAATGTAAAAATAAAGAAAAAAAGTGTGCAAGACAATAAGAAACACTACCTGCCAAAAAAAAGTGAAGTTTTGTTGAAATCGGTTGAAAAATGTAGGAAATCCGATCCCATATATAAACGAACAAACACACACACACACACACAAACAACCTGGGTTTTATAATAAGTATAACTCGGTATGAGTTGTCCCCCTTTCATTCTCGCGATGCCTGTTAATCGTGTTTTGAATTGATTTTGTGCAAAAACAATTGTGTTTTTTCCAATTTTGGCGCTGTCAGAACCACCGCAAGGTAATTTTACGTAGTCCTGTGAAGTTTTGTTGAAATCGGTTGAAAAATGTCGGAAATCCGATCCAATATATAAACGAACAAACACACACACACACACACACAAACAACCTGGGTTTTATAATAAGTATAACTCGGTATGAGTTGTCTCCCTTTCATTCTCGCGATGCCTGTTAATCGTGTTTTGAAATTGATTTTGTGCAAAAACAATTGTGTTTTTCCAATTTTTGGCGCTGTCAGAACCACCGCAAGGTAATTTTACGTAGTCCTGTGAAGTTTTGTTGAAATCGGTTGAAAAATGTAGGAAATCCGATCCAATATATAAACGTACAGACACACACAACATGGCTTTTATAATAAGTATGATTCAAGAATCAGTTTATCTATATATAAAATTCCGTGTCTTCTGCTATTCCGTCCGTCCGCCGCACCCTACAAAATAAGAATACATTGAACGATCGAAACCATATTTTGGGAAGAATGGCAAATAGGTGAAAGTCTTATAATTTAACACACAAAATATTCCCAGTATCTGTCTATATTTCTGAGATGAGGTATTATGTACATTATTTACAATATTCGGACTATTGGCCTCATCTTTGTCGCCATATTTATTACAACGTTTCGGCCCTTCAGTATCTGTCTATATTTCTGAGATGAGGTATTATGTACATTATTTACATCATTCAGACTATTGTCCTCATCTTTGTCGCCATATTTATTACAAAGTTTCGGCCCTTCAGTACCTGTCTATATTTCTGAGATGAGGCATTATGTACACTATTTACATTATTCGGACTATTGTCCTCATCTTTGTCGCCATGTTTATCCTCAAGAACTCATGGCACAGTGGATAAAGGTGTTAGTTAGATCCAGTGACAGGACCCAAAGAGTGTGAGTTCAATACCTGGTTAAAGCAGTGGAGAATTTTCAGAGGGAAATTAACAGGAGATAACTGACATCCATTAGATATGGCAAGTGGAACTAGAACAGTCTACCCCAGTGAGCGAAATAAAGGGTTCAGTTCGTCATTCCAACCACCTGAAGAAGGTCGGAGTGTACAACGGCCGAAACGTTGTGATAAACATGGCGACAAAGATGAGGACAATAGTCCGAATAATGTAAATAGTGTAAATACTCCTAATTATTTTAAAAACAATTTAATGATTAAAATAACAAATAAAAATGCAAAATTGTGTTTTGTATATCTTTTCTCTAAAAAGTTTTTCCAGGAAACATCGGTTTCCTAAATCCGCTAGCTGTTATCACTCTTTCTAGTATTGATGACGGTTTCCTTCTTAATCTTTTGTTTATGGTATTGTGGAAGGTCAATATCTTGATTATGTTATTTTCTCTTGGGGTTACATGTGCTATTCATTTTAGTTATTGCAGCTGTTGAATATCTTCAAATAATGAGGTCTTGATAATTTGTGAAGTTCTTTATTTGGATTCTGTAGCGCCAGTCTGCGGAAGACGACGAAGTGTAATCCCCTAAGATCCAGAGGGTTAATTCGTTCGAAGCCATTTTTATTCATTGTTCTGAGAAAATGGTTGCATATAGCTGATAGCGTAGGAATTTCTGTCGGATTTGGACGCCATGCATGACATACGTCGAGATCTGACGAGGCCATTTAAGAACATCGCACGAGTTCTTAGGTTTAAATTTTCGGATTGCATCATCTTATGCTCTTCGGCAAAAGTAGTTCCAGCACTATCTTACATTTCAATTTCTTTATGGCCTTACTTTTTTATTTATTTATTTATTTTTCAGTCAATTCACTCAGAGCAAGACGATAATGCCACTAATACGAAAGTGTGCCACTGGGAGTGAAAGAAAACGAAAAAAAACTTTTGAAGGAACCGGAAATCCAATCGTAAACAGGAAATAAATGATAAATCTCTACTCTTGTTGCAAAAAAAAAAATGAGGTGTGTGAACCGGACGATAGGCGAACGTTTCTTTTAATACTGAGGAAAAAATATAAATAGTAAACAAAATTTCAGAGTTTAGACGGAGACGCTATAAGTATAGAGTTGAAGTAGACTTTAGAATGAACCGAAAACCCAATCCTAAACACGAAACAGGAGATAAACCACTACTTCTGTTCAAAAGCCCGGGGAGGAGTGTGAACTGGACGATACTAATTTTGCTATAACTGATCGATACATCGGAGTATTTGAAGTGTTTAGCATTTATTCATTCCACGTTCTAAATTCTGTTATGATGGATGCAGGGTAGGTGCCATGACTGCTTTCATTCTAATTCCATATCATAGATTATGTTTTGGAAACTAGTACATTTGGAATGCTTGAAAAATAACTACGTGCTTGTATATACGTAGAACATAGTCTAGAAAGAGATTAACTAGATTGTTGTGAACCCTTTTTTTTCTTTACTTTTTTTTTTTTGCTGTTGATCATCCAATACAAAGTCCAAGAGCCACACAAGGCAGAGATTACTGAAAGAGTGGATAACGGTTGAAGGTTATAAATCTTAAGCTCTTCAAGATTGTAGTAATCCAGGAAACATTCTTTCGGGAGTCAGCTATACCAGATAATGGTTCTTGGGAAGAAGCTGTTCAAAGGAAACATCTTCATTACTAATGGAATAGGAAGGGAATGAGAATGATTCAATTCTTTGTACGTGGCATAACGGGTCTTAGCCGCGGACGTTACAATTGGAGGAGCAAAGGTACTTAGACCGGCAGCACATTTACCATGGATATATATATATATATATATATATATATATATATATATATATATATATATATATATATATACAT